GGGGGGGGGGCTGCAGTAGCAAGAAAACTGATAACATCCAACCCAATGAGATTTTTAAATTAACTTTATCTCCTGCACACAGGAGTTTAGGAAAATACGTAAACCAGCTTCTTCTATCACCTGAAGTGCACATTTTAAAAAACCACAAAACTTTTATTATTGCAAAGCATGTTACCAAACTGATGCCAAGTTAACAACTGGGATTTATTAGAAAATGAATGACACTAGCTAAGAAACTTAGTGGCTAAGGTGTAGGATTGAAGTTTTCCTTTACCCTTCAGAGGAGCAAGGTGTGCATTATCCAAGCAGAACTATGTTTATGACCGGGGCAGATGTGTGGCTGAATGCTATGCATGTTTACTCACAAGCAAGTCCTGCAGTTCAATCAATGGTGTTGTTGTTGTTAGCCATTCAGTTGTTGTTAGCCATTCAACTCTTGGCAATCAACGGTACTTACTCCCTAATACCTGTGCCCAGGACTGAAATCTCTAGGTTATCACCAAAGGAAGGAGAACCTAGTGTCTAGGTGAAGAAAGTCTGGGTAGCAGGTAAATGTAGAAATACCCCTTCCCCCTGGCAACAGATCTAATCTGTGAAATATGGTGAATTATTAATGAGAAAAATATATTTATTAGATTTCTACGCAGTTCCTATGAAATTTAATGGATTACTTACTAAAGAAATATTGATACTGTCTCCAGACAAACTGTGGAATTTAGCAAGTAATTTCTCAGCGGCATTTCGCTTTGCTAATTTTTTAGATGTCCCCGTCCCTGCACAAAAAACAAAACCAAGGAGGATGCAAATAAGCAGAGGGCTAAAATTGGGATAAATTCATACAAGGCAACCAGTCTCCAGAGACAGTGACCCTCTTATCACACATACAAAGTTCCTGTATGTTTTCTTCTGATCGTTCCATCTCTTTTAGCTCTGACCAAGGTGTTAACTGTTATCCTGAGAGTTTCCCTCTAGCCACTGCCTGATCTCAGATATCACAGAAGAAGAGGGGTGAAGAGGCATACAGAACAGGAAGGCTGGATCAGAAAAGGGATGCTGATGCTGAATCCAGGATGTAACTGAGCTATACACTGGAGCTCAAGATCTGGGCTGAGATCCTATGCACCACTAAATGGTCCAGGAGAGAATTCTAATTTGGGGGCAAAGGTCAGAATAATTAGAGGGAGGGAGGAGACACAAGGAAGGCCGAGTTAAAAAAACATGTTCTGGAAATCTTGAGATGCAGTTTTCAGCAACATCTCTGCAATGACAAGTGTGCACATAAGGTGTCCCTTTAGGCTACTGTGCCTCACAACTGAAATGCCGTAAGCAAATAATATATGCTAGTCAGGTTCTACAATGCCAAGACCATGGCCACACAACCCGGAAAATCTACAGCAACTAATGAACTCTGCCCATGAAAGCTTCGACAAAATATATGCTAGTGTATATGTAACATGCGGTACTAAAATATTTACATTACAGTTCAACTGGTCACTTCCAAATTTTACTGGCAAATTATTTCTGGTAAATCAATCACACATTTTCTGAATGCAGCAGATATATTACAGCTGCCTCACAAAACAGTTTATGTTGATGCAACTGAGAAGACAACAGTCTTGCATTCAGATGACTGATTTCCTGTTTCAGTTTGGTAAAGAAGCAATTTTATTCAGAACACTGTCTTGATTTGTTAATATGACTTTTCACAACAGAATTAGCAAATCCGAGCATTTAAATTAGGCAATATAATTAGGCCATATAACAGAATTTCTCCAGTTGTTGTGAATACAGGTCAAGGAGATGAGAGAAAATCCATTTCTGTGTAAGACTGAACGGACTGGCATTACACTTGATGGGCATAATCCATCCTGAGTGGGTACAGCACTCATACGCATAAAGATTCCAATGTTTCTTCCCTTCTCTAGAACATGTTAACTAAGCCTGCAGTCCTAAGGGCACTTTCCTGGGAGTAATCCCCATCTGATAACACGGGGTTTACTTCTGAGTAAACCTGATTAGGATTGCTCCCCACATGGCTGCACTCCTAAAACAACCTTTGTGAGAGGAAGCCCCTGGGAATAAAGTGGGACTCACTTTCCAAGAAGACATTGTTTGGTTTGCTCTTTAAACCAAGCAGAAAGGGAGAGCAGGACTGGCCTATGGGAGCCATGCAAAGACCTCTTGTTCCCTGCGACAGCCAGCTGTGCTATCTCTGGACATGCTATGGTGGGTGGGTGCAGGGAGAGAAACACAACTCCGATGAAGTGAGGCAACACATCTACACAAGAAAGGACTGTACCCTAGGCATTCTGAGGATATATCCCATGTCAAACATTTGCTCAAATAAAATACAGCTAAGCACACACAACTCTGACCTGTATATAAGAATCGTTTCAAATCCTGTAGCTAAATTCAGATTATCCTACCTTTTCTACTGACAAAAAAGAAATATGTACCTGTTTCTACAAATGTTTCTACTCTGCAGGTCATTGTAAACTCTCTCATATGTGGCGGTCCGATCTCCTGTGCAAGTGAATACTCAGGAAGTCTCCATCCCTTATGAATAGCCATTTCCTGGAGATAACAGAAAGAAAGAACATATCTTTGGTTTGACTTTTAAAAAGACATGGACCCATGAGTGGTGTATGTAGATGTCACAGTGCCCACCAGTGTACTTCTTGGCAACCCCATACTAATTCCCCAAACCCATTACTTTACCAGAAAAAAGAGCAAATTCTGGCTTTGCTTGTTTAACCAGCCCCAGTGGCATCGTTTTTGTGTCTGTAGGGACCTCCCATTATGAAATGGCTGCCTCCACAATAGGTGGATGCGTCGGCTCAGACCTCATAAAATGTTGTACAACCTAGCAACATTTTGTGATTGGTACTACCCCAATACTTTGGCCACCAAGTGAGAAGGGGGCACTCACTGGAGAAGACCCTGAGGCTGGGAAAGATTGAAGGTCAAAGAAAAAGGGGACGGCAAAAGGATGTGATGGTTAGACAGTGTTACCGATGCAACGAACATGAAATTAAGCAAACTTCGGAGCACAACGGAAGACAGGAGGGCCTGGCGTGATATGGTCCATGGGGTCGTGAAGAGTCGGACCCGACTGTGCAACTGAACAACAACTACCCCCTCCCTATGTCCATCTTCCCTAAAAGAAAAATTCCTAGTGATCTACCAATGTGCCTGGGAAATGCTGACCAGTGATCTCTTTTTTCCTCCCCTTCCATACATTTTGTATGTAGTTTTCTCTATGTTCCTTGCTACTGACATGAACCATCTGCTCCTTCCTCATTTATGCTACGGCCCCTCTCACGTTCTGTCAACCAAGAAGGAAAAAAAAAAGATAATCTTTTATGTATATAGGGACCTAATATTGTCTTACAATTCACTATAAAATAATCATCAAAACTCAAATGTACTTAGGCAAATATGTTATATTTGAAATACAATTACAGGTTACCTGCAACGATCCTACAGGATTGGTCTGATTCTGTGCTTGATTGCAAGATTCAGGCATTATGTGGTCTGGCATAGAAATACTAAAATGAACACAGTACACTTGAAATTGGCAGTTTAGAAATCATTATAGGCATCATTCCATTAACAAATGAGGACGCGATCCCAAAAGCCCTGACCTGGATAGCCCAGTCTCGCCTGATCTCATCATACTTCAGAAGCTAAGCAGGGTCAGCCCTGGTTAGTATTTGGATGGGAGACCACAAGGCAGACTGGGGTTGCTATGCAGAGACAGGCAAACGGCAAACCACCTCTGAACATCTCTTGCCTTGAAAGCCCCACAGGGTCGCCATAAATCAATTAATATAAAATTAAGAGTCCGTTTAGAAAATCCCTAAACCGAAGATACCTATCATGACACTCAAAGGCATGCAAGCAATTTATGAATAGCCAGAATAATATTTTTTAACCTAGTGGAAGTTTCCCATAATGCATCACAAGTCCCGTTTTAAATGCAAGGAGGAAGTTGGAAAGAGTGATAGTAGGGGGAAATAAATATGTTATTTACTTTGTGTGCATCTAAATGTAGAATTGCAGGGGAAAGCTTATTTAACTATCTAGAGAAATCACCCAAGGGATTACAGCCACTGACAGAGCAATCCTCTGTAGGTCTGCTTACAATCCTACTCAGAGCTATGCAATGGGGCTTACTCCCAGGAAAATGTTTGCACGGTGAGTTATGTTGCAACCCCTTCGGGGTCAGGGCGGTATAGAAATCGAAGCTATAAATAAATAAATAAATAAATAAATAAATAAGAAGATGAAGAAGAAAAAGAAGAAAGTTGTCCATTTTTGATTAACTATTTGGTCTAATTGTTTTCCTGTTAATTGAAGCATATTTCCTGAATATGCTGAGAAGAAAGTAGTCACACATCCATAAAAGGACCAGGTGTCATGTGCACTGCCCTGAAAGAAGGGCAAAATAAAAATAAATCACAAGCGAATAATCACTGCCTTGGGTTCTTCTACATTTGTAAGATTCTTCTCAAAGATAAATTGTTTCAACTGATGAATTGTTTACATTTATTTTCCCACACGGCCTAATCATTAGAAACACTGTGTCGCAGGGATCAAACTGAAACTCACCAAATCTTAGAACTGCTTTTTAAAATGTTCAGTGCAGCTTCTGCAGCTCTGTGTTTTGCAATTTTCTTGCTGGGACCTTCTCCTGGACAGATAAAACAAAGCCAAAAATGTGTTTGTTTTAATAACAGAATACGATACTGAGTGCATAACATAAAACTGGCATATTGAACTTTAAAGTATCCATTTTTTGTCCAAGCAGAATTTAAAAATTGAGTTCCTTTCAATCCCAAAAGCTACTCTGCCAACTACTTACACAACAGGGACCAGGTTTAGTACAGGGTAGTCCTACTGCCCAGCAGTGTCTTTGGGGCACCAAGCACAGGGACCACAAAGCGCAGGGTTGGGACACTCATCCCAGTTTTGCATACCCAAGAGGTGGTTCCAATCCCACCTCTTCTAAAAAGCTACTCTGTAGTTCCTCCACCCACCCACTTCTTCCTAAAGCTCCTAATACCCATTTCCTTTCAATCATTATTTTATTTTAATTATAAGCGAACTTCAAAATAGTTCATGGAGGGTGCAGGAGGTAGGTAGATACAGGAGTAAGATTAGTGGGGTATGCTCAGGGATCAGGATAGGCAGAAGAAAGAGTACGCTCTACAGTTAGGATCAGGTAGAAGGTAATTTGGGCCTTGGAGCCCAACATGCAATACTGTTACAAACCTGTCCCAGTTATTTCACCCAGGGTAACTTTAAAGGTGAAGACAGGAAGATGCACTTGTCCCTCGGCTTTTTCAAACTCATACACAGGAGTGACGTTAGTCTTTGTGCCGTACTCATGTAACAGCTGAATTGGTGTTTTCCCTGGCTTGGCTATAAGAACTTCCTCCAAGCTGCAAACAAAAGAAGAACAGCATTTATTTATGAACACCAAAGGAAAAAAAGGAAATTATATTTAGTATTGGGGCAGCCATTGCCAATTTCTGTAGTGACATAAATATAAAAAATAATATTAACATTTTGCTTTTTTTTTAGGCCCCCCGGAGGGGATTTTTTATTGCATTTTTAAAGACTACAAACTACAACGAAAAATTGGGAAAGGGTAACTACATCTAGGAAGAAAGGAAAGAAAACCACTACTAACTAAAACCCCAAGTATAGGAGATCATAACAACAACTTATATAAATGTTAATCTTAAATTGCTAGTATTACTTTGAACATAGTCGGTTATGCTATTTTTTTTTATCTTTTCATCTATTCTTTTAACTGTCTAAGAGAACCCCCAGAGCATCCCCTAATCAAACTAAAGTTTTAAGGCACAATTCAGAGTTCTTCAGCCTTCATTTTGTCTTATCTTTTCTAATCCTCAATTTATATGTACGTTTGGGGGCAGCCGCCCCCTTATCAGAAAGAGAGTCCTCGTCAGAAGACACTGAGTCCAATTCGCCACTGGATTTGCTGTCATCTTCTTCCTTCTCGACCTCGGCTGTCTCTCCCAGCTGCACTCTCAGGAACTCACGTGCTTTGGAGACAGAGTCAATCTTTTCTTTTTTATTGTGTAGTTTGAAAATGACGCCTTCTGGAATTAACCATCTGTAGACAATGCTGTTTGTAGAAAAAGGATTAAATCTTTATATTTCTTTCTCTTTTGCCTTATTTCAAATGGGATGTCTTTTAGAATCCTGATGGTATTGTCCCCGATTTTCAAGGGTGTTCCTGTAGTTGCTTTCAGGATAGAATCCCTCACATGCCTCTTTGAGAATCTGACCACTATTTCCCCAGGCAGATTCTTCTTCTTAATGTACTGCCAACATTTTGGAGAACTCAGTGACCTATTCCGGTCGAGGGCTCATGGTCCCTGCTGGCTTCACTTTTGCTGGTTTGTCTTTCTCTGCCCTCTTCCCCGCCATCTTTATGGATTGTTTACTTTTATGAAAACTTGCTAAAATCTCTGAAATACGCCCATACACTTATCTGTGCTCTGGTAAGTCTCTCAAAACAGATTTCAACGCTATTTCTTCCGCTCCCCCCTTAGTATTTTGTTGTTTAGTTCATGCGCATGGGAGGGGCCCCTCCCCTGCTCACTTTTCTCACCGTTCCCAGGGGATAGCTTTCTTTTTAAATTCTCGTATTCGCTTTAACCTGACTCACTGTTCTTTGTTGGTCATACGACCTCGCTTGGCACACATTCAAAACGCTCGATATCCGACGCTTGTCCCGGTCAGCAGCTTTAGATCCATACGGACACTCGGCGGCAGGACCATCGGAGCGCAATTCCCCAGCATCGCGCTGATGAAGAGGTCACCCCTCAAAAGCCCCATGGCTAGGAGCCTTTTGACCCGTCCCCCCCCCCTTGCTGGTGTGCAGATCACATCCCCAGGAAGTTCGGGAGAGGTGTCCGCCAGCGTGTCGCCATAAACCGGAGGTCAACATTTTGCTTTTAAAATGGCATGCCATGCTGTTACCTGAATTGGTCTAATAACTAATTGGTTCAGGAAAATTAACACAGGGATCTCCAGCAGATGTGTTCCAGGATCCTTCCCTTAGCGAACTGTCAAATAAACCAGGCTGATGTTCAACTGGTAGTGTTTTTATTGGAAAATAATAAAGAGCAAACATACACACACACAATGCAAGAAAACACACACACTAGCTAAGAGGAAAATCAGGGGTGAGAATAGAGAGGGATTATCAGAGGGGAATATATTTACCGATCGGATCCTAGAGAAAAGCTGCAAAGAAACAAGTAGCACTGAGATATCACACACACACACACACACACAGAGAGAGAGAGAGAGAGAGAGAGAGAGCGCTACTGAGCTGGATCGGTATTTACACCCAAAAATGCTATCTCAGGCTACGCAGAGGTTATGTCCCAAAAACAACACTTTGATGGTTCCCCAGAGATGTGTACGGCTTTCACTGACCCTCTGATTACAGAATGGGAAGCTTACCATTTGGGTGAAGTTTTAAATTGCATACTCAAATAAAGCAAGTAAGGAACATATGGTCAAAGTAATGTAGATGTCTCTCCATTGCCTTGAAGTGGGGAGTCTATTGCAGTGAAAACAAACAGGAGTCTTGTGATGTTTTGACGATTAAGATAAGGCCACTTTGTGGAACTGTGACTGATGAGTTTTTTCTGTGGTACTAACCTGTTACTTACAAAGACAGACACTAGTCTGAAAACTAACAGGAATGTGGTTGCCAGCCAGGTTACTTGTAGAACTAGAAGCCAGAGTTTGTAGCTTGGACACTGTTATCATCATCACTTAACATTTATAAAAAGCACGTTTAGCAGACTAGGTTCTGTACATGAACAACTGATTATTGTTGCAAGTTCATAATCTAATTCAATGTTTATAACAGGGGTCCCCAACTTTTTGAGCCTGCAAGCACCTTTAGAATTCTGATATAGTGTGGTGGGAATAGCTGTAAAATGGCTGCCACAGGTGGACCCAGCCATAAAATGATTGCAGCAGCTCACACAGTGAAGATCCTTGTGCTGTGGTGGCAGCCACTGCCAAAGCAATAGTTTAAAAAATCTGCATAGCCAAGCAAATCTCCAATAGCCAATCAGAAGTCTTGTTGGGCAATGCCCCACATGGCCTCACTCATTTTCTAAAAAGATGCTGGTGGGTGCCATGGACCCCATGAATACCACATTGGGGGACTCTGGTTTATAATCTTAAATAAATTCACTTTTTTCTCTAACAGAATTCATTCTAGAACACAAGAGTCCAGCCCATTACTGTTGTACATCCCAATTCATTATAGCAGCACTTGGTGGTCTGTCCTTTTCCTTTCAATCTCAGGGCCCACTGGACTATAAATATCAAGTAGCGCAAAGGCCGATACAAAATTTTATACTGGGGAAAATGCTAAAAAATACAAGGAAAGTAAAAAATGAGGGAAACATGCAGTTGAATATAATCAAGCTCAACACAAGACTTCATGGATGGGAACATAGGAGAAATTTCTTAAGGAAAAAATTAAGCTGGAAAAACCAGTTGGCTAAGAAAGCACAAGTCAGTTGCAGGGTTGTACATATCTTACAGGTACAGTCAGCATGCAGATAAAGCTATACATCTTCTATGATTAAAATTTTGAAACATGGAGTGATCCTAAGGAAGTCTTCTCAGAAGACAGGACCATTTTATTCAATTGGTTAAGCTCCTGCAAAAATGTTCTTAGGACTGCAGCTGTATTTTATTAAGGCCTAGAGTGAGAGTGTGAGGAATGGAAGGGAAAGAATAGAGACTAAAATGGAATAGATTAAGGTACACAAAGGTTGGGGATTACAATTCAATCATAAATATGGTCATGCAGAAGCAAGCCCAGAGGGACTTGCTTCTTAAGTGTATGTACGAGTGCAGCCATTACCCTGGGAAAAGTATATGGCATATAGACATGAAACCCCAATCTGTGGGATGCATTAACCCCTAACCCAAAGCAGATCCCTATATAGCATAACTGTGAAAACATGATTTTTAAAATTTGACAGAAATTGGCAACTATTTGGATTGGCAGATAAGAAGAAGAAGAAGAAGAGGAGATTGGATTTATACCCTGCCCTTCACTACCCAAAGGTGTATCAGAGCAGCTTACAAACTCCTTTCCCTTCCCCTCCCCACAACAGACACCCTGTGAGGTGGGTGGGGCTGAGAGAACTCTGACACAAACTGCTCTTTTTCAAGGACAGTTGTGCCAGAGCTTGTGACTGACCCAAGGTCACATCAGCAGGTGCAAGTGGAGGAGTGGGGAATCAAACCCGGTTCTCCCAGATTAGAGTCCGCACACTTAACCACTGCACCAAACCACCTGTACAGGATAGGTTTTCTCTACTGTGAAATGTTCATGTCTACCCTTCCATGGATTTCCAATCTACATTTCCAGTGGATTATACTGTGTCTGTAGAATATTCTAATAATGTGGAAGAATTTTAATAGCTTTAATTCTGATAACCAGTAAGTCTACAAACACTCCTGTGTGTGTTATGTGCAGTCAGGCTGCTCCTGACTTCTGGCAATCCTATGAACTAATGATCTCCAAAATATCCTATCATTAACAGCCTTGTTCAGGTCTTGTAAACTGACAGCCATAGCTTCCTTAAGTTCATCCATCTCATGTTGGGTCTTCCTCTTGTCCTGATGCCTTCAATGTTTCCTAGCATTATTGTTTTTTCCAGTGACTCTTGTTTTTTTTTCATAATGTGACCGAAGTACAATAGCCTGTTTAGTCATTTTAGCTTCTAGTGAGAGTACAGGCTTCATATGATCTAGAACCCACTTATTTCTCTTTTTGGCAGTCCATGGTATCCATAAAACTTTCCTCCAACACCACATTTCAAATGAATCAACTATCTTCCTTTCCTACTTCTATATAATTAAGTAAATCTGTTACCTATGCAAACACTACTGAGCAATCATTTTTTATATTCCAGTATACAAAACATAAAAGCAAACAGGGATATTTGTAGATCATAACAAAGACAGAGGTGATATAGATATAAATCAGTTCAAAATCCTCTATGGATGTCACTGGACAAAATGGGATGCAGAATGGAGGTAGGGGCTGAATCCCACTCCCTTCGGTAACTTGACAGTCATTGGCTTCCAGTATAAAAGCCACAGCTATATATACACAACTATCAACTATGCCATATTTAGAATGCTCCACTTCAAAAACCAAGGGCTTCCCCCCGATTTGTCTTTAATGGTGGAAAGTGTTGTCAAGTTGCAGCCGACTTATAGAGACCATAAAGGTAAGAGACGTTCAGGGATGGTCTGGCACTGCCTGCCTCCTGTATCTACCCATGTTAATTCAGTGGTTTTCAAACTGTGAACCGGGATCCAAAAGCGAGCTGCAATTTCCCTGCAGGCAGGTCCCCTTTGCCCATCCTTCTGGTATTTCTCTCCCCCACCAACCCCCGGTCTTATTTGGGAGCGGGGGATGTTTTCCACGTGCCATCTTGGGCTGCTAGACAACCCTTCCCGTGGGTCTATTTACCCTCACCCTTTAACGGCGACCTCCGCACGTACTTTGGGGAGAGTTAAGCCCAGATTCCTCCATCTTTTTTCCAGGGTTCGTATTTTTGTGCACACCTGGAGGATTTGCGTACCCCAGCCCTGCGTGTCCCTGCAGAGACCCAGGCACCGGGGCCTACGGACTACTAACGACCCACACATCCCCGTGAGCGACAGGAAGAAGGGCGGGACATCCATGGCCACCCTGGGGGGGGTGGGGTGGCGGCTGCTTTTCCCGCCTGACTGCGGGAGGCGACCAGAGAAGCTCTTCCCCACCCGGCCGCTCCCACCTGCCTCCCTCACGTGACCCAGCCCCCTTCTGCGAGAGGCCGTTGCCCCCGCGCGCCTCCGAAAGCGGCGCGTGCGGGCGGCCGTTACCCACAATGCCCCGCGCCCGCGCACTTCCCTTTCCCGCCTCGGCCGCCCGACCTGAGGGGCTTTGGCTTCGCCGCGGTGGAGTTCCGCTGCTCCGAGCCCGAGAATCCCTCTGGGGGCACCGCCGGGCAGGGAACCGCCTGAGGCTGAGCCATGCCGCTCAGGGGTGTCGCTACCACCTCTTCCTCGTCCCCCTCCTCCTCCTCTCCTTCTTTCTGGCCGGGAAGCATCCTTAAGAGTCCTTCCACCTTCGTAGGTCACATGTGGTTCCGGGGGCCGGCTCGGGGAAGGGCCGCCCACACACGCCCTGGAGGAGGCTCGGCCTGGCCGTTGGAGGGGGCAGAGGCGTGGCAGAGGGGGGAATGACAGCGGAATGATCGGAGACTCTTGTTGGTTAATCTCGATGGTTTTTATACATTGATTCTACCTTTGTCTTATCCCTGACTCATAAAATGTTTCTTACTTTGTGCAGATGACGTCCAGTAACTCTTAACTTGGATAGCATATTCAGTTTATCTGATGTTTATTGTTTATTATGCTGCTTTGTTAAGGTGTTGAAAATGTTATATAAAAAATTAATTTTTTTTTAAAGGAGACGTTTGCGCTCGCTCTGCCACAGCCCTCATTCTCCTCGGGGTCGCTTTACCATTTGTGATGGTTTTCTCTAAGAAAAGCAGGAAACATTCAAAGCGCCAAAGCCTTTGATGGCAAACAGTTAGGGTTGTCCTCCTCCAGGTAGGCTAAAAGTAAGAGAGGATTGGAATGGTCAACAACAAAATACAGCCGTGATATAGTAACTATATCTCTGTATCATTGAAGCTTAGTGTAACTCCTGCACCTTTCCACAATCAACAAAAGTTTCTTCACCTTTCCACAATCAACAAAAGTTTCTATTTACAAACATTCCATCAAACTTCTAAGGATGAATACATGCTGATATATTAATGCAAACAGTCCTATTTTGTGGTCAGTTTTTCTTTTCATTCCCCCCCCTCCTTTTCCGTGTTATAGTTTTACACAGTATCTTCTGTGGTTTCCACAACGGGGCAACTCGGTCCCCGTTTCAATGCTTCATCAAGGCAGATCCGGCATAGAATGATTTTTTCAGGTTTTAATATTCCATTAGTATTTGTTATACGGATTCCCAGCTTGCTGCTGAATTTATTAAACCATCAAGTAGCATCTGGTTTGCTGTTTGCATTAATGTATCTATTGGCATCCATTCATCCTTAGAAGGTTGATGGAATGTTTGTAAATAGAAACTGTTGATTGTGGAAAGGTGAAGGAGTTACACTAAGCTTTGATAATACAAAGATATCACAGCTGTATTTTGTTGTTTACCATCCTCCAGGTGGGGTTTGGGGATCCCCTGGAATTACAGCTCATCTCCAGACTACAGAGGTCAGTTCCCTTGGAGAAAAGGGCTGCTTTGGAGGGTGGGGTCTGTGGCACATCGTACCCCACTGAGGTCCCTGTCCTCCCCAGGCTCCATCCCCAAATCTCCAGGAGTTTCCCAGCCTGGATCCAGCAACCTTACCACCACATTCCCAACTGGTGGCCAGGGGGGACCTGGCAAGCCTTGGAGCCCCAATAAAATAAAAGCCCAAGGGCATCTTAAAGACTAGCAGTGTTTATTTCAATATGAACTTTCCTGAAAAGTGGCAGGTGACTCGCGAAAGCTCAGAAATGTTGTTAAGGTGTCACTGGACTTCTGTTTTGTAATGCTTCTTGAGGACCGATGATACAAATGTGAAAATTATGTGGAGGGAAAATAAACTTTTCTGATTCCAGTTGTAAATTGAAATGATAAGAGACAAGTGGCTTATATATTTACTTGCTTCATTTGTATTCTGCTTTAGTCGCTCAGACTCAAATTACAATGGACGCAATAAGGGCAGTACAATACATAGTCAATAAAAGTAGCATTACAAAAGGAAGTCAGTAAATCCTTTTCTCCATCATTGTTACAACTTTGCCATTAAGCTGTGGTTGGACTAATGCGCTGTTTTGCTGATATAAAGTAACCATGGCTACCCATTCAGCGTTATAACTTTGACATATTCTCAGCAACGTGTTTTTTTTTTTAATATCTCTTCCTTGTATCCCCATACTTTTAAAACCAGTGTTTGATTCCTAACATAATTCCATAGGGATAGTTCAGTTCAGTTAGCCTTTATTGGCACAAAAATACCTTAAAAGAGGATTACTATTAAAGAGAAATGTACATATAAAACCATATAGAACCATACATAAAGAGCCAAGCATTTTACCGACATTGCATAATGTTGGATAAAACAATTCGTTACAAAATATTACTCATTTGGTGGTTTTCCTGGTGTAGCTTTATCGCTGATTCAGAGGGATAGTTGAATGACTGTTGTAGCAAAAAGAAATAGGGAGTCTAGTGGCACCTTAAAGACTAACAACATTTTTATCTCCACAGAGAGTGAGCCACAACCCACTTTGTCTACTACAATGCACTGTACATTGGTCTCCCCTAAAAATCAACATTGAAACTCCCAGCTGGTGCAGAATGCTGCAGCTTGGCTATTATTGGGAGCTAGAGAGAACATGCATATTACTCTAATTCTGTAGAAATTCCATTGCCTACCCATTCGTTACCAGGCTCAATTTAAAGTATTCACTAAATACAATGGGACCATGTAGATACAGTACAATAACAATAACTAAATACACCATGGAGAGCACAAATTACTCAAGGTCAGATAACATTCAATTGCTGCTTAAAGGCATATGTCTCAAATACAGTTAATGAAAAAATCATGCATAGAAATTGAAATGTGAATCCTTTAGTATGATCCACATATACTTATTAAAGAACTAAGGCTTTGAGACAAATTACACAAGCGTAAATATACACAAAAACCCTAGAGCAAGACCAATATAACAGGCTATTCAAAACACACTTCAAAACTCATTGCAAACAATTTGAAGCCTGACTTACCCACAAAGTTTACATATTTTACATGCCTTATCACACTCCCACATGGTCTCAATTGCACTCCTTTTGGTAAAATGGTTCTCAAATGCATAAACTCAGGTTGCATACTTAAAGCTAATCATGCCTGGGACTTTAAAAAAAAGATTGAAAAGTCTGAAAAGAGAGCATGGGAGGTCATGTATTGGCCACATTAACCATGAATTGCTAACACTGACAAAATGAACAAAGTTTGAGTCCAGTGGCACCTTTAAGACCAAGAAAGTTTTATTCGAATTATAAACTTTCATGTGCAAGCTCACTTCTTCATATACAGTAAAACAGAATATCCTCAACCATTACATATAGGAAGAGAGAGGGTGGAGGGTGTTTTGTTGCCAGGAAGGGCCAATTAGAGTCAAGACAGACAGAAACAAAAATGGAGATTACCAGTCTATACATATAGGTGGAGGGTGAGCAGTAAATTATCATACAGCATAATGATGATGTTTAACAGATTCAGGGGTCAAACAGGAATACTAAGCTTAGTTTATGTGGTTTCCATTTGTTTGGGTTCAATTCGGGGAGGGGGGGACAGTGAAGGAAACAGGTATGTCAACATTGGAGATTAATTGTGGAATGCTGAGAGTAATTGATTGAGACTCTGACATCCATCTCTTCTCAAGCATGGAAGCGACTTTACAGCATCTTTAAAGGGGGGATTGGCTGTGACAAACTCTTTCACTTGTTTGAATTCCAACTATGGCAACAGGTGGAGCCACTGATTCATCCTCATCTTGTTTCAAAGACTGCATATGAGAAGGGAACATATGATGGTTATCTCATTACCAGAAGTAACTCTTTCGAGTATTCCATTCATTCATAAACAGAAGGAAGGGGTCACACCCAGTTGGATTGCACATTCTATCTTTTTCATGACTTGCAACTGCTTTGCATTTACATGGCACTTGCTGCATCCTCTCCCCCCTCCCCTTACCACCTATATATCTCTGGACAGTTTCTTCATACCCTCCATGCATCTGATGAAGAGAGCTGTGTTTCTTGAAAGCTTATGCTACAATAAAGTTTGTTAGTCTTAAAGATGCTACTGGGCTTTCTACTATTAGAAAGTAGGCAATGATCATTTTACTTGGAATTCACAATCTTTGCCATTTTAGACTTCTGGCGATCCCTAGTGGGATGTTTCAGAGAGGTGACTTCCTATTGCCTGCCTTTGCATCCCAGCCTGTCGAGGTTTGCGCGGTGCTAGCCCACTGCAGGTTGCGAGTGGTGTGAGAGTATCAAAGAAGATGCAAGTCTTATAGGCTTGGTGTAAAACTATAGTTTATTTACACGAGCCTCCACCAATATATTGCACAGAACGGCAAAATGCTCACGCAGATAACAGGTTTCCATCAGGAAGGGTAGTACATTGTACAGCATCACATTTATACTAGCATTGTCCAATCAGGACCCAATGCTGAGTCACAGTTAATTAGCTCTGCTATCAACTAGACAGAACCAGTTGGAGCCAGCTCTACTGACACTCTGAGCTGTCAGCTCCTGTCAAACAGATTGATATGATCTACAGCCAGACTTATAGAACACATGGATGTTGACACAGCCCTGGTATTCCTTGGAGGTCTCCCACCCAAGTACTCGCCAGGGTCGGCCCTGCTTAGTTTCTGAGGTATGATGATATTGGCCTTGCCTGGGCTATCCAGGTCAGGGCAAATTCACAAACATACTTGATAGTTATGGATTATTCCTATATTTGGAAATTTGCAACCAGTGCATCAGTGATAGCCAGCTTGAAAGTGGTGTTTGTGAGAGACAGAATCTGTGTGTACTGTTTAGTGACAATAGAGAGGAGGGGAAGGGCCCATTTTTGCCAGGATAGCCAGTTGGTTAATTATACTAAATCAAAGATTTTAGTTTTTCAGAAAGCAGGTATATATAGAAAAGTTAGTCAGCCTTGGATAAGTAAACGGCATTTCATTTTGTTATCTTAGATTTCATTTCACAGTTTCCAGTACCTGGTTTAGTCATCTTAGGCCCCGGTCACATGGGCAGGAAACTGCGGGAGGGGGGGAAGTGTGGCAGTTTGCCCCGGGGCAAACTAACGCGCGGTTACGTGATCAGACCTCCTGTGGAGGTACCGTGGAGGTTCCGTGGGAAGGGAGAGGTGCCGATCGCAGGACAATCCCGTGCGCAAAACAGAAGCACGCGGTGTGGCAAACTGGTTGGGGGTTTTTTGTGTGTACACCACGACTGCGCATGCTCCGTTGGGTGCTTGTGCGCATCCACGGAGACTGGGGGAAAAAAACCTTGTTTGCAAGGGGACATG